TGTTGGGGGAAGAGTCAACATGGCTTTTTAAAAGATAAATCATGCATCACTAATCTATTAGAATTCTTTGAGGGGTCAACAAACATGTGGACAGGTGATCCAGTGAATATAGTGTACTTGGACTTTCAGAAAGCCTTTGACAAGTTCCCATACCAAAGGCTCATAAGAAAAGTAAGGAGTTATGGGGGTAAGAGGAAAGGTCCTCTCATGCATCAATAATTGGTTAAAAAAAAAAGGAAACAAAGGGTAGGAATAAACGGTTAGTTTTCACAGTGGAGAGAGGTAAATAACCGACTCCTCCAAGGCTCCATACTGGACCACTGCTGTTCAACATATTCATAAATGATCTGGAGAAAGGCATAAACACTGAGGTTCCAAAGTTTATAGACAATACAAAATTATTCAAGCTAGTTAAATCCAATGCTGATTGCAAAAAGTTACAAAGAGATCTCCCAAACTGGGTGACTGGGCAACAAAATGGCAGATGAAATTCAATGCTAATAAATGCAAAGTAATGAACATTGGAAAACAGTCCCAACTATCCATAGAAAATGATGGGATCTAAATTAGCTGTTTCCAAGTTTTCAAGCTTTTTCTTGAGTGGTATCATAGTGGGCAGTTCTCTGAAAACATCTGCTCAAATTGCAGTGGCAGTCAAAAAAGCTAACAGAATGTTAGGAACCATTAGGAAAGGGATAGATAATAAGACAGAAAACATCATAATGCCACTATATAAATCCATGGTACACCCACAACGAATACTGCATGCCGTTCTGGTCATCAGTCATGGGGTGCAGCCCTCATCAACAGACCGGTGCCTCCTCCCGCTCATGTTGGGGATTAGTTTGAGGCCAATGCCCACATCTGCAGTCTTCAGACCGGCACTCTGTCTCTGTTCCTGCGTATGGCTCCTCTCTCAGCTCCCAGGACCGCAGCATCCTCTTCTCGACTCAGCCCTCTGGCTAGGTCATCGTCTGTGTTTTCCCCTTCCGTGGAGGGAGGAACATATCTCTGTCCAACAGTCTAGCCATTTCCACAGTGACAAGTGGGTGGGACCCAAGCCTGCCTACTACTCCAGGCCCCAACCCAGGACCCTGTACATAGCAGTCTCCTGCTGCTCCTCTGTAACTTCAGTCAATGCTGCTCTGTTTCTCTGGGCTAATTCCCCATGGCCACAGCACCTTCTTTGCCCTTATCTCAGGGCCCCAGCTGCTCAGTACCAGGAACCAGCCACTGCTCTGTCCAAAGTGCTTACAGTTCTCTCAGCCCTCCAGGGATGCAGTCCTTACTTGCTGGGCTCCCATCAGAAAGTGACCTAGTCTGCCCTGCAGTTCTCTTTTTTATGGACCTGCTGGGATCTGATTGGCTATTCCTCGCAGCCTCTCTCCTATTGGCTGCTTCCTGTGCAACCTCCCTAGCACCATTAACTCTTTCTCTGCCAGAGTGGGATGGTTGCCCCATCACATCACCCCATCTCAAAAAAAAAGATATATTAGAATTGGTAAAAACACAGAGAAGGTCAACGAAAATGATTAGGGGTATGGAACAGCTTCCATACAAGGAGAGCTTAAGAAGACTAGGATTGTTCAGATTAGGGGGATGATAGAGCACTATACAATCATGAATGGTGTGGAGAAAGTGAATAAGGAAGTGTTATTGATCTCTTCACATAACACAAGAACCAAAGGTCAGCCAATGACATTAATAGGCAGAAAATTTAAAACAAACATAAGGAAGTTCTTCACACAACACATAGTCAACCTATGGAACTCATTGCCAGGGGATGCTGTGAAGGCCAAAGTATAACTGGGTTAAAAAAAAATGGATAAGCTCATGGAGTATAGGTCCATCAATGACTATTAGCCAAGATGGTCAGCGATGCAACCCATGCTCTGCTTGTCCCTAAAACTCTGACTGCCAGAAGCTGGGACTGGATGACAGGGAATGGATCACTCAGTAATTGCCCTGTTCTGTTCATTCCCTCTAAAGCACTGGCCACTGTCAGAAAACAGGATATTGGGCTAGATAGACCATTGGTCTGATCCAGTATAGCCATTCTTATGATCTTATTTCTTAGCCCAATTTTATTTAAATAATATACAGATGAATAAACACAATGGCATCCAAGATAGATATGTCAGGTGAGGTAAACATTCTAAAAAAGAATGAACCCTTGGAGCCATGCCCTCCAAATACCATTACCTGTAACTGTCACAATGATTGTTTCACTCGATGTAACCAAGAAAGGAGCCTTTGATGGCTTCTGAATAGCAAAACACCTACTGCCAGTTAGTGTGAAGTAACAGGGGGATTTAATAAATACTATGCACCAGAAAGCTGCATTTCATAGCTGTGATACTGAGGCCATTACTTATATTTTTAAAATGTGAGAGAAAATGCTATTGGATATTTTACAGCATTTTATACAGTAGGTTGGCATAATGTGAATGAATTGGATGCTCAGTGGCTGAGACATCAGACGTCAAAACACTGAGCTGTTCATAAGTATCTGGAGCTAAAATTGCAATAGCAAAAATCATCTACAAAAAGCTGATTTGATAAAAATAGAAGTGCACTGCAGAGGGGTATTCTGTATATGATTTTTTGAAAAAATCTGTTAAAATGTGATATTATTCAAGCTTATAGAATACAACACAAGAAAACTTCAAGTCTGTACATCCATTTCAAGGGTGCTATGACTTCAGAAACCACTTGAGCTTTGTTTTCCCCCTATATTTAGCATAATCAGAACTCCTTCATGTGTACATCTCAGCCACCTGCTTTTTAACTGTGGGTTGCTTGGAACCTGCCCCCTACAGGGCTCCTGGAACTTTACTGGGGAGTCACAGGCTTACCTCACTTTTGTATTGTACTTTCCTTGCTCCTATTTTTTGTTTTGAGCTATCAACATTTTTTATTGCTCTGAACCAGTTCCTAAGTGCAGTCACCCTGACCCTTCATGTAAGATTTCTTTCTTCCTTCCCTTTGGCTGGATTCACTCAGGACTACTGTTTACAAAAAAGAGGGAGGGATGGAGAACAATAGCAATAAGCTCCTTTCCTTTGAGGTTTGTAGATGCAGCACCTGGTTTCTGATTCCAAGTTCCATTATACAAGGGCTCAACTAAAAACTGTTGGTTTATGGAGCCCTGATTGAAGTCTATAACCTGCTATGCAGAATGATGAGGGAATGAGGGGGGGATTTGAGAAATGACTGAGTCTGTATTAATGGAGATCCAGGTCCAAATTCATCAATTATAGCTGACTGGTCCATAACAAAGGGCTCCAGGGGGGCAAAAACTCCATTCTATCTAGGTCAGGGATAGGCAACCTATGGCACACGTGCCAAAGGCGGCACATGAGTTGATTTTCAGTGGCACTCACACTGCCCGGGTCCTGGCCACTGGTCCAGGGGCCTCTGCATTTTAATTTAATTTTAAATGAAGCTTCTTAAACATTTTAAAAACCTTGTTTACTTTAAATACAACAATAGTTTAGTTATATATTATAGACTTATAGAAAGAGACCTAAAAACGTTAAAATGTATTACTGGCATGCAAAACCTTAAATTAGAGTGAATAAATGAAGACTCGGCACACCACTTCTGAAAGGTTGCCGAACCCTGATCTAGGTACTTATGTGGTCCTCATCATAATATCTGATACTGCAGAAGCAGAGTAGATGGCAGGCAGGTAGGCTGAAGGACTGCAACGCTAGTCCACTGGGGTTGGGATCATAACATGCCCCAAAACTGAACCCGTATGTTGTGAGGGAGAGATCAAGGTACCTGGAGGATTCAGCGCCTGAGGAACTCCTGCCGCACACCCTGGTGTAAATCACTGGGGAAGGCGGAGGTGAAATACCTTCTGCTCTTCCCCTGGAATAAATGCCCCCTTGGCACAATAACCATCACTGGTGCAGGAAGATACAGTTTTCACCTTCTTGTGCTAGCTGGAGCACATTTATTCCCAAGTGTCCAGCTACTGTGAAGCTTAAAAAGATAATGGATTTATCATGCTATTGCTAAAATGGAAACAACTCTAGAAGGATTAAAATGATGGGCAATTTACCTCTACTCTTGCCACAACTCACTATACCATTTACGCATTCAAAGTGGCTTCATCGTTTTCAACTTGGATACATACATTCTGATGCATCCCTATCCTGGATGCAGTGCAATATTCCTTATGCCATACATAATAGTGCCTTGTTTGATCCTGAGTGGAATCGGGGATAGAGGACTCTCAGACATCTGGGCGCCAAATACACAGGGCTGCATGTGGCTGAACTGAAAAGAAGCAAAGCCACTTTAGAGCAACACCTGGGAGAGTGAGGAATTGGCTGGGGGTAGGAATGATGTGCGGGAGGGCAAAAGATAATGGTAGCTATGGTTTATGTGACACACATGAAAGGGTTAATTAGTATAATTGCAAGAGGCTAGTAACAGTGTCACATCCCAAAGATATGCTTGATCCAATTGATTTCAATGGAAGCACCTCAGAGAATTGGGCCGGACATGAACATTCAATGAGAGTTTATTCCAGTGATACAAATGCACCTGTATTACTTTGTGGAATTCTACCACTGCTGTTTGTCTATGATAGAAGGAGGCAGACTGGAGTGGATAGCAGCAGCATGCACATCCACAAAAGGTAGGGGGTCTCATCAAGAACTGTAGCAAAGGAAAGAGATCAGATCACAGTATATCGTGTGTGTTGGGATAACAGTTAAAGACCTGCAGGCTTGTCCTTTGGCAGAGAGAGGATGGAGGGAGAGTGGTCACAACGTTAATTACATTTTTAATATGGATGCATGGACTGGAAATATTCAAGAACCATTGAGTATAGTACACATATACCGTATATTTAGACATGCAGTTCAGTACACACATAGGCAAATACTTAGACTACAATCCCTTTCACACGAGGGTTATAAATTGTTAATTTCCTCCATTAATCCAGTACTTTTTGAAAACATGGAAAGAACAGTTGAGTGACTTACCTCAGCTGTACATACTTTGCATCTTGCTCTATCTTGATTATCAGAACTCTAAGAGAAAAACAGTCATTTAGTAAGAAAACTGATTAAAATTATATTGACCAGGAAAATAAATATAAAACATATTAGCATCTCCCTGGCAGAATTAAAGAACAACAGGGCCAAATCAATTATGAAAAGTGAATGCTTTGTTACTCCAGAATCTGGTTCACATTTGATAATTTGCACCTTTCTTGCATTTATAGTTTTTATTTTATGCAAACACTCTTAAATACTCCTCAAGTCAATAAGGCACAAAAAGATAAGCCTGAAACTCACTATGGACAATCAGCTTAAACTGGGGCTCAAGATCGTGGAGCCTCTCTGAGCCTTTAGAAATAATCAAGGTTTATGGTGTTTAACCATCATTCTCAGGAGAAAATATATATTATGCAGCTTTGGTGAGATAAAGCCCTCAAAAAAGCATCACGTATTTTTGTAGTACTCGATAGGACTTTGGAGGGAAAAATGATTATCCTTCACAAACAATGGCTTTAGAAACCCCCATCATGAACCCAAGATGTACACATAGAACAAAGCCCAGACATGTCAGCCCACTCAAGTGTAAAACCTGCTTACAGTTTGATCAGCAATGGAGCAGGTTAAACATGTTAGAAAATACTGTTCAAGGCCACTGCCTCTCTCACTAAAACTGAAAAACTGGGCACAAAAAGGCAATGCATTGTACGTCATCTGGTCAGGAGTATTACTATTAAAAGTTCTACATGGTGAGCAAAAAGTGGTGCTGTAGCAAAAGTCTGTTGTGTATGTCTTTTTTAGATTCTGACCATTCCGTGACCTACCTGAGTGCATCACTGTAGTTCTGGACCAACAGAGACATTTCCTTCTGGCCATGAGCTAGACGGGGAGTCATGTCCTCTGTGAATGTTATACTCAAAAAATGTTCCTGTGGTCAGTGAACCCTGGATCTGTGGGGTGTATGTCTCTCTGTTGGCACAATAGTTGCCATACCAGTGTCACAACTAGGGGTTCATGCTCCATGTAAGTCTACTTCCCATTTTAAAAAATAATCAGTCTTAGCTTCCAGTCCTTGCAGGTGATGAACAGCTCCTCAGGGGTGATGAACACCCTCAGTTCCCACTGACTTCACCGGGAGATGTGAGAGCTCAGCAACCCTCAGGCAGTGCTACGATCCTGGCAAGGCTGAGCCCATTCATCTAACTACGAAAAGAAGTTTGAATTTCCTCTCCCCATGAAGGACTGAAACAATGTCAAATTTAAACCTGGATAGTTTACATACAATCTTGCTCTTTCCTTTTGTGAATCAGATGAGAGATGACCCAAAATACAACCAGAAATCAAGAGAAAGAAATGAATGTGTATGCTAGAGAGAAAGAGAGCCTTCCTGCGGTTTAAAATAGTCTCATCATAGTGGTATCCTTCCTATGGTGCCATTTTACTGGTGATTTTCTTGTTTCATCAACATTCTCATGCCATTTCATAGATTCTTGTTAACTTCAGTCCATTTGTAGTATTTATATTGGAGATGTTCATCTCTTTGAATATTAGTGGCCACCCTTAAAACCTTGCAAATTTTGCCTTATTGCATGTAATCGCTGTTCAATAATAGAACATTCATGACTGATTTCTGAAGTGGAGCCCCAAAAGAAGGCATAGGAGTGATGAGTGATCTAACAAAGGGGAAGACCACCTCACATTCCCCCTTAAATCACGGAAATGACTAACTGCCGGTGGATCTGAGAAAGGATTCCATTAAATATTCCTGTTACTCAGGAAGCTTCTCTTTGTACATCAGTAACAAACAAACAGAAGGTTTTTGAAAGAGCGGCACACTGGAGACCCTGGCAGTTCTCAGAAGGAGGTGGGTTTGCCTGTGTCTCACAGGGCTGAAGTCTGAGATCTAGGAAGTTCCAGCCTGTCTCGCACTAGGGAGCGGAGACCCAAGAGCAATATGGAACCTTTGGAGATAATCTAGTGTGCGTTCAAGTGGACTTTCTGTTGGTTTCTCCAAGCAGCTTCTGAGGCATTTAAGCAGGGGACTCTTTAGTTAAAAAGACCACAAAAGGGGAGACGTGAACAACAGGCTGTGAAATACTGAAGATGAGGGGTTTAAGGCATGTTTTTCCTGAATAAAACACTAAGATGGACAGAAATGAACTGAAACCACTTAAGAGTTATGAAGTCTCTCTCTCTCTCTCTCTCTCTCTCCCTGTTAATTTTTTCTAATACTTGACCTTGTTGTTCAGTTATCTCACAGGCCAGTATTCCAATATCTACCTGTTTCTAACCATGACTTCTGTACAAAACTTTCAGTGTTTTAAAAAAATTGGTTGATTTTTAAAGTTGTGGCTATTGCAACATACACTACACTAAATTCCTGGGGAACCATGTCAGTCTGCAAAATCTCCAGTGCCGCCCCCTACTTCATCTCCCTGGAGTCATATATAACCTTACTAGTTGGAACTGTAGGTAACCACCGTCATGGGGAATATTTTCCTCCTACATTTTAGAATAGTATAATTTATAACATGATATTAAAACCAATATAAATTAGTAATTCAATCCCTATATTCCAATTTAATGAATTAGAGGCTTCATTGCATTATTGTTTTGTGCCACTGGACCAATCATTTGGTTTACAAACAGAATGTGTTTCTTTATTAATCAATAAATGCATATTAAATAAAGGTATCTTACGTAAAATTATGCTGATATCTCACAGGGGCCCGAATGCAATTATTTAAAATATTATTTTCTTAATATAATCTCAACAAAATTAAATAAGAATATGAAATTTGTGTCTTCATTTTAAACTCCTTTTAAGAGGACAGGGATGCAGTTATTGCCTGGTGGCAACTGAGAAGCACTTATCAAGATAATTATTTTAGGATTACAGTTCTGGGCTTTATAAAATGTAGTTAAGGATAATTTTCGACATCCACTGAGTAACCCATAGTCAAAAAAGGGCATGACAAACAAATGGCACAATTATTGTATTTGGGTACTTGCAACACTCTTTCAGATAAGAAAGAAAAAGTGAATGCAGGCTACTTGGGGCTGAATCAGTCCATAGTATTTATTTAACAATTGTAAAAAAATAACTCATAACTAGAAGAATTCCACCACAAATAATTTCCAATCTCCGAAGAAGAAAAAAGAGCCAACCCCCAAGCCCACACACACTTCAGGAGTGTTCCCTAAGCACATACAATTTTGATGCGATGTCCGAAACCCAAGTCTCCTACTCAGGGAACTACCTTTCAAATTAACCAAACCACTTATTAAAATAGGCAGAGTCAGTAGGGAGCCAAAAGATAGATTTTTTCATGACTTTTAACACGGTGCAAACTCAGTCCTTTATAACACCTCTAAAATTCTTTGCTAACCTTGTTGTTTCAGTATGTCCTTTCTCAACAAAAATGGATTTTGGGTGAGAAGCTCACCTGTTTAAGAATTGTATCTTAATCTGCTGGTAAAATAAAAAACTGCCTACTGTAAACATACATATATTAGATGTACATGCGCACATTGGGAACAGGAAAACAGAACCCCTTCACAGTGTCATCTGAATTCACCTTTGACTAGCTGGCACTGTACATAGAATGGGGAGCTTGCAGTCTAAAAGTAATACATGGATTTTTATTTCCTAACATGAGTTCTACTGAGTTTTTCCTCATCATCCTTCATTTGGTTTTACTATACTCTTGTAATTATATAATTAGCATCTTCAGCACCTATTTTCCCCTGGTCAATGGTGTGAAATATAAATACAGATATGCATAAAGATATATACTTGGCAAGTGAAGCACAGTCGTTTAAGAAAAAAAATCTGAGTCACTGAGTAGTCCCACATTTGTAGCCCAGATGATGTCCTTGTACCTAGATGCACTGATCTATCACCATCAGAAGAACAGCTTTTCCTGATGTGAGTCCATCACTTTAAAATTGTGGCAGACTCATTGGTACAATGAGCTCTTGCACTTGGGACCTGCATAAATACCATATGCTTTACTGTCAACCACCACGGGATAGACTTGTTTTGGCAGCCATAAACAGTCAGTAAGACACACTCCTTGCCTTACTGCCAGTTCTCAAATCTACATTTTAATACTTCAAAAGCAGCTGCAGAGGGAATCAAATATAGCAGAACAGAGTTTGAGGGTCTTGTAGAACACTACAGGACGTTGGAGATTATCACATAGGTCAACCGCATTGTTCAGTAAATAGCACTGTATGACTAGAGCCATAATTTAAATTGTGGGATTGTGGGTTTGAGGATTATTGGACTGTAAGAGGCTACTCCCTCACACCTCACCAATCAAAGGAAGAAGAAAGGACAAAAAGTCTGAGAAACAAACTGACTCTGTTTCTATTTTGGGCAGTTCCCAAAGTTTTAATCATTCCACTCTTGGCAGGCAAGGCAGCAGTCCTGTTTCCTCCACAACAAGGTCCAAATAAGCCATTCTAATTCCTCCTTGTGGGTTGGGAGAATATCAGAAGGGTTTTGATGGAATAAGGTCGAAAGGAACCTTCACATTTAGGTTCAGATTCTGATACTCTTACAGTGAATAGCACCTTACGCTATGAATAGCCCCATCAAAGTATAAGATTAGTCCTGGAGTAAAATGCTACTAATCCAGAGCCTGGGCCTCCAATATTTTAGAGAGTAATGTCTCTGCAGGGAATGATACAGATTCTCTATGTAGATGTACAATGTACTGACTCAGTAAGTAAGAAAAACAAATATTTTGTTGTCAAATTTCTTCCTGTTATAAATCAATATTAGACTTGTTTTATTTCAGGAAAGCCTAACCCTGGTCTATATAAAATTTCCCCCCTAAAAATATACTCTGCTGACATGCTTATTCCTGGAGGCCTGCTTAATTATCCCAAATGTAAAAGAAGATGGAAGAGCTCTGTTTGAATTGCCCTGATGCTGCCTCAGCAATTTCTGCTCCTGGCACATGCTAATTCAACAGCCACTGATCATTTGGAGTTAAAGCGCAAGCAGCCAGCTGAATAGGATGCAGTTCTTCTTATTCTTGTGTTGAATATCAGGGTCAGAGGTGAGTACCAGATAACACATAGCAGATGTAGGGAGAGTAGAAAGAATGTTGTTAACTTATGGTGACCACCTACATTTCAAGGAAATAGAAGGATGATTGTAGGGAGAAAATATAAGGAAAGGTTATTTATAAAGGAACTGCATCATACAATATTTTTGATACAAAAATCATACAGAGTACAAAATCCTATATTGGTATCACAATGTAGGATCCATTACGTGAATACTGCAGAAATACACAACAACATCCACCCTATACTGACTTTATGTACCAAATATGGGACATCTTTAAAACACTAGCAACATGATCCCCCTATACTCACTACAAACTAGGGAGGAAAAGTTATGTTTCTTTTTACACTGTCCACATGTTCTATCGCAGCTTTGTCATGGAGCAGCAGAAAAGCAACCCTGTAAATGTGAGATGAAGAAAAAAGAAAATCTGATCTGAACTTGAAGAAGGATCTTCTGGACAATTATCTAGATAAATAAATGCAGACACATAATTCCTCTTGAGTAGCCGCAAAACAGAGATTTGACATAGGAGAAGAGAATTTTATGAGAAGTCTTAGCTGCTTCATCCTGTTTTCTGACCCTGGGCTAGATCCTCAACCCTGCTCCAGCTATGCAAAAGGGCCTTAGTTATCTCAAACAGGCAGTTGAGGATTCCTCCAATAAAGACATACAGAGTGGCAATTTATGTGAGCACTCTAGCTGGCATAACTTGGAGCAGCCAAGTAACTGCTCTAAGTTTCTGAATTCTGTTTCAGACCCTGGCAGCCTCACAATTGGGAGAGAAGAGAGAAACCTTCCCACATTTTCTCCTCAGTGCAGCTGATGATCAGGTCTTGTGCCTATATGTAGGTATTGCAAGAGACACATGTGAAAAATGTAATTATTTTAGGTATTAGCAATAAGTAAACAACTTTCTGTACTTTCAGGGAACACAGAAACACAAACAATTTTAGATACAGCAGCCACTTAAAGCTCTTGCTTTTGTTTTTCCTGCCAAGAGAAATGTGTTAAATATTCTGAAATTTTATAAGGAAGTTCATATAAGCTGTAAAGACAAAGAAGTCTTAAAGCACTCCTGATTATTTTACTAGAGGATGGGAAAATGTAAACAAATCTTGATTGTAGGAACAAAGATGCCTAACTACCTCAGAACCAAGTGCATTTCTACCATTCTACAGGCATTTACTGTCTAAATAGATTAAAAAATAATTGTGCAAGTCACAATAAAACTTTTCTGACAAAACATGGGAAACTTTGTTGAAAATATCAATAAAAAGGTTTTCCCATTTTCTTTTTACCAGAACTAGCAATTGTGTATACACAAGCCATTCAGCTCAGAGTGCATAGTTTATCTGTGACACAATTACTGGTGGTTTTTTTTTTAATAATGTATGTAGAAAAACCTTAAGGAAGGTTCTGCGTGAAAGAACATAGGTTAAAGAATAGGTATAAGGAGGCAAGTTCCCCTAGAGTAAAAAGCAGAGAGTAAAAATAATTATATATAATGAATGAATGACTTGATGTCATCGACTAGTAGTTGCTGTCTATTTTAGGATGAATTATTCCATTCATTTCTATGGAAATTTTGCTCTGGTATTGAGTATGCAATTCAACTTCTTGACTTGGTGAAGTAACAAGATGGGCAAGTAAATATCTGATACTCAAGTGGTATCAGACCGCTCCAATGTTGTTTGGAGGTGGTGATACCCTACTTTTAAAAGGCTTAGTTGCCTCATTTAGACAAGGAAGGAAATGAAGGAAAGGAAAATTTATACTGAGGGCCCAGTAGGCCTCAGAAATTCTTAACCTTCTATACAACATATATCACATCTCAAGTAACATTAAAAATCAACTCCCCCGATTCTTAAAAAGGGAGAAATATTCAAAATTATTTGCAATCTAAAGACGTCATTCTTTCTCACAATCAAAACAATCTGCAGAAACGACTCCTAGTCTATTGCTAAAGCTTGGCTGAAACAATCTCTCAGAATGTGGAAGGGAATGTATCCCCCTCAGTTAACTTTTGTCTGCTGCCACTTTCCATTTTGGCAACCAAAGGAATGTTGTGGGCACCACATAAAGGCATCTATGGCAGCCTGTGGGTTAAAGTAGACATTTCTTATCTTTGACAGATGGTTAATTCATAGTCATTACTGCTAAATTCAATTGCTTAATAATTTAGATATGACAAACATGTGTGTAGTAATGTTTGCCAGGGCACCCTTCTAGGAATCCCAGGATGCAATAACCCCCTCAATGCTTTCACCATACATCCCCATGCTGAGTATGACAGATTGAAACAAATGCAGGCTTTCTGGATATTTTAACTCCCTAGCACCACTCTAGGTGGTTACATTAAAGCGTGGTTCTAGGGAGTTATGTGTTCTGAAAAACACGAGGAGTCCGGTGGCACCTTAAAGACTAACAGATTTATTTAGGCATAAGCTTCCGTCGGTAAAAAAAAACCACTTCTTCAGATGCAGATTTTTTCTTCAGATGGTTTTTTACCCATGAAAGCTTATGCCCAAATAAATCTGTTAGTCTTTAAGGTGCCACCGCACTCCTCGTTGTTTTTGTGGATATAGACTAACACGGCTACCCTCTGGTACTGGGTGGTTCTGAGTTATTTTTGCAAGGGGTGCCTGAACTGGCTTGACTAAAAATAGCAATTTAGTCAGTAAACTTAATAAAAAGACCAAATTTACACAATGGTCTCAACTTATCTTCCAGTTTTACAGCTGCACATATTAGCATTTAAGCAATCTTATTACCTAACTTGCAGACATAGAGCCTAATCCCAAAAAGTGCTGAGCATCAGCAGCTGCCATTGAAGTGATGCTCAGCACCTCTCAAGACCAGCCCATAATCAGGGAGGCAGATGTATTAGCATTTGCACCAACAACTAATTGCACTTGTAATTTTCAGCCTGCAATTAATTGTAGTTGCAAAGATGGAGCCAATTATATTGGCAGCCTTTTAAGTATCAGGCTCTTGATGTTAAAAGAAATAACAGGCTATTCCGTGCCCACCCCCCACACCAAACCCAGTCCATTTTATTTTATTTTTATTTATTTTATTTGAGGGGAACAGAACACAAATATCTGGCAAGTATTTCTTTAACAGTTCATTTTTCTCTGCATTGCCTTCCTTCAACTAATACAGGCAACAGAACATCCCTCTTCCCCACTTTGGCACCAGAAAGCACCTTACAACAGGAGACCTGATCCAAAGCCCAATGAAGTCTAAAGACTCTCATTGACTTCAAAGGGCTTGGGTCAGACCCAAAGTCAACGTACTAACATTCTAGCACAAAATACCAAGCCAAAACACTGGCTGAAATCCATGTAATTTATATGTTGTTGCTAGAGCTGTGCAAAACGTTCACACAACTCCAAAAGTCTGAAAACTGCTTGCTCTTTTGTTTCATTACAAATGAGAAACAGAGTCCAGGTTTGCAAAACATTTTGCCAAGGTTCACTAATTTATTGTGCTGACTTAGGCTAATTTATGGGCTTTGTATCAAAATATGCAAAATGTGTGGCTTTGACCACAAAAACCAGGTATAAACCAGGTCTCCTTTCAAGATCTTAAGTTTATACGTTTCCTGTACTTTTTTCCCCTCTATTTAACCCACACTTTGTCACTTTATGCCTCTCGGCGCAAAGCCCTGATATGTAACACTTTTAGAATGTAAGCTTTTTGAGACAGAGGTCTTGCCTTTGCTTTTTGGTTTGGTGCCTAGTTATACGCTATTGTCACGATAGAAAACAATTATACTAATAAAATAAGATAATGATAAAGAACAATTATAATAAATGGGAAAAGTCACATGATGTTTTCCAATGTGGCTACTAGTCCTGCTCACAATTCTGGCAAGCCAGGAAGCCCTAAGTAAATATATGAAACCTAAACCTTACCTATTAGTTCGCAATTGTTTCAACCATGGGGAAAACTGAACCCAAACCCTTAATATGTTACGGGCTTGTGAACACATGAACCAGTTCTGACACAAAACATTCACCAGATCTACTTCAAATTAAACAGTTGTGGAAACCCCTCCAAGTCAGCATCTCGCTCTTATTGTGTAGTTCACAACATACAAAATCATAATGGCTTCAAACTGTTGCCACTTAGGATCTGATCTTATAAGATGCTGTGAAGAATTGAACACCCTCAACTCCTACTGAAATTAATGGGAATTGAGGTACCCAGCACCTTATAGGATTTTCTCAGTATCTTGTGGGATTGGGTCCTTGGTCAGTAAGTGCTCTGACATCTGGAGGTTTTAAAATGACACCTCCTTTTCTCACCCTCAATTGAGGTTGTAACCATATGTTTGTAAAAGGTTTATAGAATACAAATAAAACCAATGGACGCTCGTCATAACAGTACACCAACATATGGTAGATTGTCTTTCGCGCTGCACAGTACAAGATGGAAGAGAATATTCTGCATTAGTTCCCTCACCTTTTGTATCCAGGTTAGCACACACTTCTGGTGAGCAATCAGGTTTTTGCAGTCACAGAAGTGCAGCAGAGCGTCACAACCCATCTCGTCTCCTTCTCGACAGATAAAGCATTCTTTTGACTCTAATTAAAAAGATTAATAAAGTAAGAGAACACATCAGGTTTGCATCAATCATAGCCCATGTGGTTCTTATTATTGCAATTAAAAGTTATCTCCTCAAAATTGTTGGATGAAAGTGCCATTGTCTACAATTGAAAACACATTGAAGGGAGTTTTCCAACTTATTCTATTTTAAACAGTCAAATTTAAGGAACATTGTGGAGATAATGTGTTCAAAAGGGTCCTTAAAGGCAATCTGTCAGGAAAAATACATTTCTGTCCCATGAAACTCCCTTATAAAGAATGTGCATTGTGCATCTTAGTGCTTTTTGTTTTAAAAAAGAATGAACATTCTGGGCCTACTTTTCGAAGGTGCATCAAACGCAGCCTCTGATATTGAAGGGGTAATTTAGAGTTCAGTCCTGTAACGTGCTGAAGCCTTAAACTTGCACTGACATCACTGGGAGTTGAGTATCCAACACTTCTTAGGAGTGCTCAGCCCTTACCGTGATCAAGCCTTTACTGTGCTTAAGTTTTTGCACCCAACCAGTCAAATCTTTAGCTGGTGCAAATTGGCTCTGTTGATGTCAGCAGAGTGTGCTCATTTACATCAGCAGAGAAGTTAATCCTCAGTTTTTCACATCCAAGCTTTTGCACCCACAAAAACTTGGATTTGTGCATGCCTACTGCATTTGCAAGCATAAATTAACTATTTTTTGCACATGCAAAATCTTAGGTGTATAAACCTGTGCAATCCAAATGCACACAAAATTGCACCTGCCGTTTTAATTTAATTTTGGAAGTCTGGCTCTTTATGACTTTCTTCGAAGTATGTGACAGTTTCAAATTCTGCTGCAAAGCATAGTTTTAATGACAGGATGATTAAATAAAGTATGCTAATATACGCTGATGGCTTTTTAAAGCTTTCTTTGTTCAAGCCAGCTTTTTTGTTTTTTAAACTGCAGCTCTTCTATTTGGCAATGGATGCAACGGCGTCATGAAATTCTCCTAAAAAATATCCAAAATGCAAGTATACTTCCATACTCAGGCACTAGCTTCTGAAGTAGGTTTGCTTGATGGTATTTAAATAAAGATTTTGAACACTGGGAAAACGATCTCTTTTCCAGAAACAAAAGGGAACAAAACAATTCTTAATATGTAATGTATCACAAAGAAAAACTCCAGTGGATATCACACAGGAAATACCTGGATTTTTGTGAAATGGGTGATAAAAGTCCCCTGCCACCTCTATCTGCACTGAAAGCTGCTCATCATTTTGCCTTTTCTGGTTTCTGAAAAACAACTGTCCCTCACATCCCCCGTTGTTGCTCCATGGGCAGTGGGGCAAAGGATTTATGTGACCAAATGAAGATAATCAATGTCAATCTACTCAAAAACCTTTTAGAAAAGTGCAACAGACATTATATTGTACTACAGTGCTGGCATCTGAGGGCCACAATTTTTGCTCAGATGTAAGCACCCAACTCTCACTGGCTTCCAAAATGTACACATTTGAGGGCAATTTGGCATTTAAAGAACAATCATTTGTGAAAAAAAGAAACATGAGAGAAGTGCAGAATAAGCACCTATACTTACATGCAATAGGGAATGCATGGGGAAACTCAGGCCAGGTCTACACTACCGCGGTAGTTCGACGGCTGGCAATCGAACTTCCGGGTTCGATTTATCGCGTCTGGTCTGGACGCGATAATTCGAACCAGGAAGTGCTCGCCGTCGACTGCGGTACTCCACCTCAGCGAGAGGAGTACCGCGGAGTCGACGGGGGAGCCTGCCTGCCGCGTGTGGACCGCGTCTGAACCGTGGTAAATTCGAACTAAGGTATGTCGACTTCAGCTACGTTATTCACGTAGCTGAAGTTGCGTACCTTAGATCGAATTGGGGTGTTAGTGTAGACCTGGCCTCAGACACAGTTAGCAAGCGGAACTTTCCTTGCAATGGCCACAATGAATATATGTGGTTTGCTCTAAAGCTTGTCTCTTTCACTAACTGAAGTTGTTCCGATAAATGATATTACCCACACACCTTGTCTCCACAATGAATAGATGTTTATCAAAGAAAATGTAGTGAAAAGTGAAGTCATGACACCTGATATCTGATAAAAAGCCTGTTTATGTCTAATACAGAGGATCAATTGTTCAAGAACAGTTAAATGTGACCCATTTAATGCTGCAAGGTGTCCAACATCTATAGTACCGTGCTGAGTAAGTGCTGGTCATGCAAATTAAAGCTGCCTGGGAATATACAGTACTTTTGACTTGCACTTACAATTTTTTAAGTTCTCAAAAACTTTTAGAGATGAGGAGATATGTTACATTCTCACTGGAGCTAGTTCCTTCCCCTTTCTACATTGCCTGCCGCCCTTTGGAAAAGCATCTCCTCTCTGATCTTCCTGAATATTTGTGAGCTATATATCCATATCCAGGAAGGAAAAAACTAACTCTGTATTTATCCCTGGGTGTGAATTTAAACAAGAGTAGGAATGGGCAACCCAATTAAGAGAAAAATTCCTAAGGGGCCTAAGACTTGGCCATTGATCCCGACGAAGAAAGGGGGAGTAAGAATTCCTTTTACACTCTGTGCAGGCCTTTTCTAGTCCTAAGTATTAGTATAGAACAACTATGGAATAGGCTTTCAAGAATTTATAGGTGATTTTAATTAGCTGTAAGTTAAAGTTAAAGTCTAGAGAGAGTCAAAGTTAAAGTCTAGAGAGAGTCAAAGTTAATGTAATTTACCCCCTTAGTGTGCATTTTATTCAAATTTAAATACCTTCTAGATTCATATCTATTCATCAACATGCTCATACACCCCCCAACTTGAATAAGGCACACAGAGTCCAAATTACACATCACCCCTGAAGTTGGCACCCAGTACCTAATGAAAGTTTAACAAGTTAGGTGAGGATTATGGTCTAAAATGCAATGACTAAAAATATATATACAAAAAATTAAGAGAAGTTATGCTGGTTTAGTTAGCATACCATGTACCTGTGTCTGAATACAGATGCACACAAGGGCAGACAATGACCAGTTTTTTATAATTGTACAGACTTCAAAGAAGAGGGATATTGCTATATAAAGCAAGTCTCCCTAGCCTCCATTCTCCAAACAGCTCTCCAAAGATTAAACTATGCCTATCGCTGTTTTTAGCCAGAGCATCAATAATTAAACAGGCCATGGTCAGGGGCCCCAAAGCAAACATCACTGGGTTCTGGATGTGCTCCATGCTTTCTTCATGCAATCTTGCAAGATGTCTAAAGCCTGAGCTTCAGTCCAGACTGGATCTGCAATGACCCATTAGAAACAATAGGGGGAATGTTCAGATTGGATGATGCATGCTACTTAGCTTTTATTCACTGGAACTGAGGCACAATACAATCTGAAGCTTCTACTGGTTTCCCTTAGGCATTCAGACACTACAAGCAACACAGGAAGCTATATGAATAAATGATAAATAAATTTCCTAATGTCATGGCTACTAGAAGAAGTATGCATTATGGAATTAACGTGGTGACATGTTTGGATATTATCGCCACACACTCCATACTAAAAAGTCCCTCATCTTTTCTTGACTTCCCACTATTTCCCTCCTTCTTCCTAAGAGCCAGTCTGAAAATCTGGCCCTTCATGGATTAAAAAATATATATATTACATCCAAACCACTAGCTACACATGGTAAGTGAACAGCTGTAGATGGGTTATATAGCTTCCAACCCAGAATGCCATTATGTATTTTGAAACTGTAGTGGGGTGTATATGCAGTATGTTTAGTGACACTGTCTCACATTCTGGACCATCCACACACTTTATTTGTCAAATGGAGACATATACCAAATAAAAGATTCATTTGAATTAGGGTAGATTTTTCCAATATTACCATGGAATATAAAAAGAAAATTGCTAGAAACCATTTGGTCACAGATCAGTGTTGCCATTATTTGTGCAGCTGGAAAAATGGATGTTTCTATTCTTCCTATGCTTACCAAAGATCTAGCCAGCATATAACAGAAAAGCACATGCACACTTACTGCCACATCTCACCAAGTTTGAATCCCCACCCTCCACAGCAAGAGGGTAATTGGAAGGAAATTGTTGCAACACACTTTCCAATGTCTTGCCTGTCAGAAAAAAAGACCTCAACTGTTTATGCCAAATCATTGGCACAGCCAATAAGGCAATGGAGTTCAACTAGACACTGGAACTGCTAACACAATATGTTCTTGCCTAAGAATAATTTCATTAGTTACCAAGTGAAAAAGGAAGGTGTTTCAAGACATTTAGTATATAATTTTATCCATGTGTGTATATTATTTATTAAGCACCTGGATTACACCTGTCACACAAGACAAATAAAGGGCTCCCACTAATAATGTATTCCATGTATTACACACACATACAGAACAGTATTTGTTAAGCATGGCTATTGCACTGTACAAGACAATCCCTGCTAATAACATTCTCTGTATGTTTGGGTACATATACAGAACAAGACAAATACAGTTACAATCTAAGAAACAGGCAAAAAATTAGACAAACATACACTGGGAGATGCAGAGGATAGCAATAACTTAGAACATTAGTTATTATTAGTATTAATAGTTATGGAGTGGGAATAAAGTTGATGGGAGTTAGTTAGAGCTTTTGAGCCACACAGAAGTGGGTTTCTCATAAATATCATAAAAACTAGATTGCAGCAGCACTGAAGGGGTATTGCTTCCAAAGTGCTGTCAAGGTTTTATAGCCACGTCACTCCTAATGGGCCGGATCCTCAGCTCATGAAAATCAGCAGCGTTCTATTTACTTTAATTGTACAGCACTGATTTACACCAGCTGAGAATATGGCCCAATGACTCTAATGGGACTCATGTGGCTAAAGCCTTCACAGAACAATTTAATGATATATAAAACGAACTGACATGCCAAGAAATTCAGTATTAAGGCTGCTATTCCATCCATATTTCACCCCATGGTGCATAAGCGCATTGCTGTAGTGGTCTTGATATCAT